CAGGGTTGTACTTTTGTTCAGCCCTAAGAAACGGAAATGTGGATCAGCTGGCACCACCCTGCCCAGAAAACATGAAGAAGCTCAGCTGTGGCTCAAGGCAGGGCAGAATCACCAGGAAGTAAACTACTGATAATATTCCACTTGAAGGTTGGTTTAAGGTATCTTTCTTATTTGTGTTATAATTGCTATAGGGTGAAGACATTGTACTCATGAGTGCTGTTAGCTCCTTGGGATGTAAACTAACAGGTAGCAGCTTCTCGCAGATGAAAGAAGAATGGCAAGCACTATGAAGCAGATGGTATGTGTCTGAACAAAACTGTAGTTCTATAATGCAAATAGTAAGAGTGTGGTAGCAATTTGTGGTAGGAGAATTAAACAGTTGGGTGGTTTAGGCCGGTCTGAAATTGAATTTATTTTTGTTGATTTCAGAATAGCTTCATATTACATTTCTAGCTTTAGTAGGAAACAAATCAATCCCATTGTATGGCTATTTCAAATTTGAAGGCACAAAAATGAATCAATGTAAGAAACTGAAGACTTCAAAATGTTCACTGCTGATACTATAGATCTATAATCTTCCCCATGCTGGTTTGCGAAGGATCCTTGATCAATTTAGTGCATCTGTGCCAAATTAGTTACTGAACATTTATTATCCTAAAACAGAAACTGCTAGAACAATTTTACATGCATTTGAACACAAATGGAGCCCTCCCCTCAAACATTTTTTGACTACAGGAAGTCCTCACTTAATGGCCACAATTGGGACCAGCAAATCCATCACTAAGTGACGTGGTAATTAAGCAACACATCACATGACCAAGATGGACTTACACCCTCACTTCCACTGTGATCATTAAGTGAATCACCTAGGGTTGTTAAGCAAGACATCACATGATCGCAACTTGAGATTTTACTGCCAGCTTCTCCACTGGCTCTGCTTGTTGGAGGTAAATGGTGATCACATGACCACAGGACACTGTGACAGTTGTAAATGCCCACCATTTGTGAAGTGCCTGAATCTCAATCACATGACTGCAGGGACATTGCAACAGTCGTAAGTGTGAGGAACAGTCATAAAGTTACTTTTTCAGCACCATCGTAACTTGTAATGTAACAAGTCATAACAGTCACTAAATAAGGCAGTCATTAAGCAAGGATTACCTGTACCTGTAATTTCCATTATGTTCCTGCTTTATACTAATCTAAGCCAATCAAAAATTACCAATACAGTCAGCATAAACACCTAATGTTTTTACTTACATGGAGGAGGTCACATAATGACATCATAGTGGCAATATTAGATTTTAGCCTTCCAAAATAGCCTTTGACTGATATGTATTTGTTTTGCCTTTATTTATTTAATAATAATGTTTAAGTCTTCAATCTCTCCTTATAGAAGTTAACTTGTTTGTCTGAATTCTTCTTAAAACTGTGGTGCCCAGAGTTGGATAAAATATTCAAGAGTCTGACCAAAACAGAATAAAGTCGAACTATTACTTTCTGTGATCTGGAAACTCTATTTCTTTTGATGCAACCTCAAACTGCATTTGTATTTGTTTTTTGCATTCTCACAATATTCAAAGTTTTGGCCAGACTATCACTTAGTCCCTTCAGTACCCTAGGATGCAATTCAACTGGCTCTGGAGATTTAAACCTTTTCAGAGCAAAGATTCTGCCTCTTCCTCCTGCTCTTTACCATTTCCTGATGGAACATATACTTTCTTGTTGAAAACTGAACCAAAATAGGAGTAACCTAGCCTTTTCTTTGCATTTTGCTTCTTCATTGAGAAGTTGATATACCAATTCTTATCTTTTCCTTTAACATATCAAAAGGAAGTCCTTTTTCACTGTTTGTAGTACTTCACCAACCTGTGCTCATTTGAGCAATATCATTACTGTAGTGCTGGGCGATCTGTCCATGTTCTTCTTTGATGACCTGAACTACTTTCAATCTCCTATATGCATCTTCTGTGGTTTTCAGATTTTAAATTCTTCATTAAGCTTTTTGTGTAGCTTAATCAGCTGACATCTATGTGGAATTGTTTGCAATTGTCCCTTTAGTATTTTCTTATTTAAAAAATCCCAACATTATGCACTCTTCCATACTAGTTGCTCATGATTTGGAATGAGTACTGCTGATCTAGGGATAACCAGGTTCAAGCTTATCTTCAGCCCTGGAAGTTCAATAAATAACTCTGGGTGAATCATTCTCTCTCCCCACCCCACCCCCCACAACTGTTCTTGTTGGAAAAAATGGAGGAAGAAACACTATATACACTACCTTGAGCTCTTGGAGGAAAGCCAGGATATATATCTAACAAATAATAAGTCTGATTATCATTGCTCTGAGCTCATTAAAACCCATTTTGAAAAGATATGCATTGACTGTACTCAAGTTCAGTTTTATTTCAGATCAGTAACCCTCACTTCTTCTTTTTTTTACTTTTTCCTCACATATATAGTCACTTCCCCCAATATTCCTGATACTTCTACTCTTCAACTAAGTCTTCTCTATTGGTTCATATCAAATCAAGGATAGCTGTTACCTTCTCCACTGTCTCAAGAAGAAAGTTGTCAGCAAGACAGTTCAGGAATTACTCTGAGGAACATGTTTGGTAAAGTTTCTCTCTTACTAGAAACGAGAGAATGAAGACATTCTCCAGAAGTCCATGTCTGTATGTTGTGTGTCCTTCACTTACTGATGCCCTAAGTCTATACCTCGAGTTTTCTGTCAAAAGATCTAATGGGGAATATGAACTATAATAGAATACTATGTGCATAGAGATTTTAAGGGACAGTTTTATTCTTCTGTTTCAAAGAGAATGTTGTTATGGTAATGCTATTCAGATGGAAAGGAAACATACTGCCAAGGTCCAGTGATTCAAAAATAGCCTATTATCACATTTGTCTAATGCAGCTGGTGTGATATTGCCTAATCCAATTTTCTAACTAATATTGGTCATCTGCAATTAAAGGGATGCATATAATTTCAAATATATATTAATCAAATGCTTCTTTTTAGGAGGCAAGATGATGAGAACTGTTATTTCTTTTTAAAATGCTTTATTTAACCTTCAGTTTCATAATAAACTATTATATTTAGTGACCTCTCCTTCAGAGGTGAGACAATCTATCTGAAGAAAAATGGTTTATATATTTCAAAAATTTTAAACACTATACTCACAACAAATATCTATACTGAATATTTGCAACTTTATTCCGGTATATAGCTTCATCCAAGATCAAATTAATGTAATAACTAATTCAATTCTTACAAAAGAATTTTACAACAACTCTAAATGTTTTATGTTGAATGATTCATAATTCAGAAATCACATAAACATCTTACAGAGTTTAATGCAGGTATTTATTTAACTCACTTGCAAGTTTTCTATTATCTACATGTGATTGGGTTACAAATGTTAAATTTCTATAGTTAAAGGAAAAACCTGAAGCAAGTCCAATTATTTCTTCCAAATAAATATATATCATTTAGCTCTCAGTAAGTTTTAGTAAGAGTTACTTCAGAACATGCAAGTATAAATTTGCGCGATCACATAAATAATTTTAGCCAAACTGTACTACTTCTCTCATTCATATCTAGTAAATATGTTATTTACTTAGGTCCAGCTGCTTTCAGGACTTAGAAGTAATTTTACAGATCTGACTCATGGATTATTAATAATCACAAAATTTGAATATTTTGGAGATAGTCTATAAGTAGAAAGAAGATATCTACTAAGTTTATTGAATTTGCCACAAATGAAAAGGTGAAAAGAATAAAATATTACAGAAATGTTGACTGTTTCTAGGAAACAGCGATTTTTTAATTTATTGTTGGCTCTGACAATTAATTTTAATTTAATTTGAATGATTAATTTAATAATTAATTTAAATAAAATTAACCACATAACTAAACATGTGATCCTTAATATAGGTATTAAGGCATTAAAATAATGCTGTTAACATTTTGTTCCACTGTTTCATTTGTCATATATCATTGACACCAAACTGTTTTTTAAAACTCTAGATTCCAGTAATAATAACTGACAAAGTTGAATATACAATTATTTTAATTCTTATAAAATAAGAGAATGGTTGAAAAATATAGTTAAATGAATTGTTACTTTTAGTTAATAAATGCCAGATCAGGATTATAGCTAACTTGAAGGGCTTTATCAATTGGCTCTAGTAATATAGAAATATATATGAAAAGAACTTTTTATTAGCTCTATATTCACCTTAACTGAATTTTGGCACACAAATTTCCAACCTTACAGAATAAACTTGCCATAGAAAATGGATAAAATGGATAAAAACCATCCACATCTAAGGCTTGGGACCTAGAGCATGATAAAATATGATGGATTAGGTCCAGAACGGTACTCCATAAGCAGTTAGTTATCCTATCAACTTTATCAGAAACTGATAATCTGTTTGGAAGAAAGAGGTGGAGAATGAACGCACACTCCTTTCCTCTCTCCTCAGCAATGTATTAGCTCTGTATATACCAGGTACTAATACATGAGCATTTGTGCATGAGATTAAAAATTTCACATGAATATCCATGGAGGAAATAATAATTTTAATCTTAAGAATATTATAATGAAAACAGTACCATTAAGTAAGTATTGTTCAGAACATTCCATAATGCTTTCAAATGTATGTACAACAATTGGCAGGTTACTAATTAAACTGCTGTACGATATAGCAGTGCGCCAATTTTACATTTTGATAATATATTTTAACAAACAAAAATAACTTAAGAGTATTTATGCATTTCAGATTTCTATGCATTTCATTTATTACATATGACAGTATTGTACATGCATTTCACAGAATACTTTTATCAGCAGATATTAATTTCAAAATCACTGTAAATTCATAGGCTAGTGCTTTACATATTTAAGTATTAATAAAATATTTTAATTATGAATGTGATAACCATTTTAAACATTTCATACAAAATAATGTTTGCTTAAAATGTCGGTAATAGTGAACTATTTCAAATATGGATGAAGCTGCTTGAGTTTAGCTTTCCTTGACAATCCAACTCTTAAAGGACCGCAACATGTTTTAAGAGGCTGTACTCTTCTAATTCCACTGAGTAAAGAGTTTCCTATATTAAAAGAAACAACATCTTGAAACCATATTATATCGTATATGTGTCCATTTTTCATTATCTCTTATCAAGCAAGCTCAATGGTTATCTTGTACAAGATAAATTTCTAGAACTGCAACCATGACAAAGACAATGTTGATGTATTTACTGCTGAACATAAACATGAGAAGTAACTCTTCTCATCCTTAGCCAAGCACAGTTGTAATTGTTTTTCAGATAAGTCTTTTAGAATGTGGAGGGACATACAGGAATGCCTTCCTTACAACAAAATGAACTTTTATCTTTTAGAAACAGTAAAAGTGGGTACTACAGAATCTGCTTTGTCTGTTTTGGTGTGATCTGATTCTCTTATGATATGTTCAATTCCAGGTGACTTTGTGGACAACTCCTTGTAGTTTTCTTGACAATATGGAAATTATTAGTCACTGCCCTCTTCTGGGCTGATGTTTGGATTTTCTAGGTACTCCCATTCAATTATTTCCCAGGTCCATCCCTGCTTAGGTTTTCAAAGGAGTTACAGATAATCAAGGAAATAAAAAGAGACAATATGCTTTTCTAGAAGAAAATTTTCTACTCTTCTATTTGTCCTGTTATCAAGCTTCAGTCATTCACTGAAAAAGCTGCAGCTGAGAGTGGTTGCCATCATGGTGAAGTGCTAGGTGTATTAAAAATATTTTCTGTCTACAGCAGCTATATGTCTTTGATCAAATTTAAATTATGCAGAATGCTACTTCCTTAGTGATGTCTTTTTTAAATCTAAAATTTAGCTAATGTTATGATTACCCATGCTTCAGCAGTTGCTTTTGGTGATAAAGCCAACAGTGAAGCAGGGTGGCTTTATCTTTAGGGGAAAAAATGAGGTGGTTGGATCAGGCCACATATGTTAAGGAGCAATGAACAGAGGTGAGGTTGGAGCTATATATATCAGACGGCATTCCCTGCATTTTATTATCAGATTTGGCTCAAATATCAATCCAGCTGGCTTCAGAACATGAAATGGAGAGGGGAGATTATTTTGTACATAAGTTAGTAAAGTATCTCTGGTTCCACTACACTGAGATTATAATCATCAGTGACAACTGGTATGAAGGTGAAATAGAATTTTAAAACTTTTTTCCTTGTTTTCCATAAAATTTATACCTCAAGCTGTTTTTACTCTTGGGGAAAAATAACTGTATCTGTCTCCACCCAAAAGCAGTTGAAGGGAGAGTGATTAGAAATGAAAGTATGGCAAGTTTTCCTGGCCTGGCAATGCCACTTGCTACTTACAAGAAATAACATTGGAGGAAAATGTATATGTGATTAGTGTTTGCTTTGGCACAAAGATAAAAAATGAATGAAAGTCTTCTTCCTCTACATTTCTTTTCATGTCCTCTGCATCTGATCTGGAGGATCTTTCCATCCTCAAGAGTAGATCTGTGGATACATTGTCAATGGTTTTCTTATTTACAGTTGTTAGAAAGATTTAAAGTAGACAAAAGATTTTATGGTTTTGAACATTGTAAGACTGAGTTTGAAACTGAATTGTGTACAAATGATGAACATGTCCTAAAGTGTATAAACTTTTACTGAAATTTGAAACAGAAGAAGTGAAAGAATGTATGATAAAGTAGGTGAAAAATTTTGGTTATAATATACAGATGGAACAATGGGAAATATGTGACTGAAAGGATAGAAATTTACACTATGTTATAATCTTAAAGATATTTTTTATAAAATGATGTACCATTGGTATATGTCACTAGGGAAATTGTCTAGAATGTATAAAGGCACTACAAATTTATGCTGGAAATGTGAACAACAAGAAGGGACATTTTATCATGTTGGGTAGATGTGTAAAAAGGCTAGGAAATTTTGGATTCAAATACACAAACTGATTCAGAGGATTTTAAATATTAATATACAATTGAGACCAGAGGTTTTTCTTTTGGGATTGATGGCCAAACAGTTGGAAAAAAGTCATGGAATTTTGTTTTTGTATTTGATAACCGCAGCAAGATTATTGTATGCACAAAGATGGAAAGATTTTACACTACCCACAACAGAGGAATGGTTGGTGAAGATGATGGAACTTGCTGAGATGGCTAAATTGACATTTTTTGATCAGAGAAAAGACTGCATTTATTGCTGACTGGAAACCCCTTATGGACTTTTTGCGTAAAACAGAAAAAAAATGAATTTATGATTTATGGTTTTCATGATTAGACAGGAGAGATTATAGAAAGAAGAGAGTTATGTTGTAATCATGGAGTAAGAGGTAAATTTATAACTGAACTTATAACTGCTGTAAAGAAGATTGGGAACTACTTCTTTTTTTCATTCTTTTCTATTTTTCTTTTTCTTTTTTCTTTTCTTGCGTTTTTAGCTTTCTCTTTGATTTCTTTTTTTTCCTTTTCTTTTTCTTACTTTATATCAGTTTTTATTAGTTTTTATCTTCCTTTTTAAAAATCTTTAATAAAATTATAAATATACAGTATATATATATAGAGACAGACAGACAGACAGAGAGACAGAAAGAAAGAGAGAGGAATAATTCATTCTATCGACAGATGGAAACCATTGGTTACAACTCAGGCTATTGTGTTATATCAACATGAGCTTGAGGAACAAGAAGCAGTGGAATACATAAGAAAAGAATCTGTAATAACAATTTAACTATCAAAATTATGCTTAGGGATGGGCAACTATATCAATTTCAGGTTTTCTCTGTGCCTCATGTTCATAAATTTCTTATTTTTTTGTTCGATTGACAGAACATGACATCACCTAGCAACTTTAGCTAACCCTTAAAAAAAAAAAAATCTAAGCAGTTTTAGGTCTGGATGAGAAATCACCAGGAAACCTATATAAAGACTATATAGTCTGTCATTCCAGCTATATAAGAGATCAGAGACTTCCTAAGAAAACTGAACTCCATAGGCAATCTCCCTAACAACGCCATTTCAACTACCATGGCAGTTGAGGCCTATATACCAACATCCCCACAAACATGGACTTCAAGCAATCAAGAACATCATCACCGATCCCAAATAGTATACTTTGCCACCAGACTGTGTAACTACTTTATTTCTGGCAATAATATGTACCTGCAAATCAGTGGGCATACACATGGCTCCTCAATATACCAACATCTCAACATTACAACTGTTAATTGATAAGGTACTTGTAATCTGTCTCACATGTAACCTATATCTGTATAATCAACCTGTCTTCTCCTTCCTTCTCCACCACCTCATCCAATTTAAATTCTGTATCAGTCCAGCCACTCTATGTATCTGATGAAGTGAGCTCAACTCAAAAAAGCTTATGCCTTTTAATTAAATTAATCTGAAAAGTTGCTACCAGATCCCTGAATTTTTGTTACAGTAAACTAACATGGCTCTGCTCCTACAATCCCAGAAGAAGGTAAGAGCAAACAATTTCTGTGTTATAAACAAGAAAACTAGATGGGTGAGTATATGAAGTCACAAGACTTGAACCTGATTCAAGAGTGTTTTTACCATCTTTTAGTCACTGAGAATTTTTTTAAAGTTTTCATTAAAATGTTCTTTGAAATAAAATGATATTCATATTAAAGTGTTTGAATTCAAAGCTCAGTAGTAATAAAGTCAACTTGGAACTCTGACAACTCAATCACAAATTCACATATAATTGAAAAATGTTTACTGTATAAATTAAACTGAAACATAAATATACAAAAGTGAAATATCTTTGAATGCTGAATTATCATAAAAGACATAATTTACCTTTTTCTGTTGTTAAGTTATAACTTCCTTCTTTCATGAGTGTTTGAGTTATGAATGCAGGTTTCCAAGGGAAAGACTGCTTACAATAAGCACGTTCTTAAATTTGAAAAACAAATTCACAATAAGCATTATAGTTATTAATAGATCAACTTGTATTTTACTATATAGTAGGTCTACAATATAGCAACTATGTAGTAAAATATTTTCTAGATTTAGTAAATATATAGTAGCTTTGATACATAAACATACAATACTGTATAGATTTTATATATTATATACTTGAATGTATTTGATCTAAAATATGGCAACTATACTACAAAAAAATCTGATGCTTTATTACAGCTCTTCCAGTTATAGTGTTGATGTATTAGCTCTTACCAATCTCGATCAGCTGCTATGAATTAATGTTCCTAGTAGGACTCATACTAATGGTTTGCACTGGATCCCCTCTTCCTTCTTTTTCTGCAAAAGTGATCTCAATAGCACCATGCAGCTGAATTTAGCTGCAATTTTAATATTTACAATGTTTCCAGTGTAGTGTTGCTTTGGGACATTGTGGGAAATGTTAATATCATCATCCAATAACCCAGTGCTTCTATTACTGATCAAGAGTAGCACGCATGGCCAATCCAAAATTAGAGCCACTCCTATTAACTTCTTCACAAATACATTTATAACAGACATTTAAATTATTTGAGAGAGATCAGTGCTTTTTTTATAGTGTACACATATGAAATAGCAATCCAGTTCTATTACATAAAATCATCCAACTTTTGCATATTTTTGTAAATAATTTATTTACCTTCAGAAGATGAACAGAACAATTCTTTGTCTGATATACTTGAAGAACAGTAGTCATGGGGTATCTCGTGCTCTCCAGATTGTATATGTTTAAATAAACTCTTTTTATAACTATTTTGCTTTATCCCAGAAGCAGAACTCATAGTTATACCAGTAGTGGAAATAACTGAATTTTGATGAATATTTCTGTTAACTTGATCTGGTATGTTGTCAGAACAATTTAGTACAAGAGGTTCTTTCTCAAGAATATTTATTTCTGCTTGTGATAGACTATTTTCATTTTCCTTACTAATTTCATTGAACATACGAAGCTCTTCCAGTACTAAATCAAATTGATCTCTTCTGTTAGTTTCTGAAGAAAAATGCCCTTCTCTTGAATCTTCAAAACTTTTTTGTTTTGTTGAACATGAAGCTACTGTTAATTTGTTCACAGAATTAGCAGACTTTGCAGGTTCCTCTTTGAAATATAGCTCACATAAATTCTGGTATTGATTGCTTTTGTTTATATAGCTCTGCTGAGCAATGGCATTTTTTCTCTGATTTACATCCTCAGCAGTTTGATTTACAGATACTAGTTGGGACATAAGCGTGCCAGTGAACAAAATATTCTTACCACCCCAAAACTTCACATTTCTTATTTTTTTAGCCTTGGGTGCCTTAGATACTTTTGAAATCCATGTAGTTTGATACTGGTATTGTAAAACACTCTTACGTTTTTCAAATTCAAAGCAACTTTGTTTTGCTCTTTTTCCATACATGGAAGTCTTATTCTCTTTTGCTTCTACGCTGATTGCTGTATTTTGGTTTAGACAAAGGTTATGAAACATGTCTGGAGTAAAATACTGGTTAATATCCAAGGAATGTTTAAGCAATCGTCTGGAATTAATTGGTAAAAGTTTGTCACTAATTACTTGTTTTAGCCATCGGCTGTCTCTGAAATATTGAGACTTCTTACTTTTGCTTTCTTGTTTTAAAAGAGAACTACAATTTGTACATAACTTGAGTGGAACACAAATGTAAGTTAATGTTTCAAAGTGATTGCTAGTGAATCTTTTATCAGCAATTATGCATCCTTTGCTATATTTTTCATCAGTAATTATTACATTCCCTAGGACTGAAATGTATTCTATTTCCTCTGAATAAGAACTGAGGCAAATTTTTTTATATTTATCAATATGAGATTTTCTATCAACAAAATCACATGGATTATTTTGGCCATGTTTATGATTACCATATTGGGTTTTGTTCATTCTTTCTTTGCTATGTGTTTCTATATATTTTGGGACACATTTGTTTTTACTTGTACAATTAATGCTATTTCTGAATCTCCTATTTTCACATTTGTTGTGTGCTCTTAAAACAAAATAAAAATGTTTAATTTTTTTAGAAGAGAAATCATTGGTTTGATTGTAGGTTTTTCTATTTTTCTTTTGTATAAATTGTTCCATTGTAACAATTTCAAATTTTAAATGTTTACTATCTGACTTTTCAAACATGATTGGAATTGAACTCAAATAATTTAATAATCTAAAGTTATCTGCCAAATTGTGGATTGTTTCAGGAATATACAAGCTCTTTTCCCATAAAATAATACTGAAACTTTTATCTGGTAAAATTTGGTCATTAAAAAGAATTATTTGGCTTGCTACTTGTTCTTTGCAAACTAATGAAAATATATCATCTTTCCTAATATTTGTATGACTTAAAAGACATTTTTTAGTACCTTCTTCATTAGATTTTTCTGTTTGTTGGTGATTAACTTGAATTATGTGGTTGAGTACTGGAGTACCATTTTCTGTAACCGTGCTATAATGATATGTTCTTTTAATTTGTAAAAATAGCTCAAGAGCAATACCTTTTGTTAATTTAGGATTTAAATTTCCACAATTTCTTGAATATGGTGTATATCTGTGCTGAAATACTTTGTTTCTTCTGAAATTATTCTTTCTAGAAAATCTTTTTTGCTTTTTGCTGGATAAAATATCACGATTCTTACATAAAACATTTTTATATTCATAAATCAAAGATCCAGAGCCTGACTTCTTTCTATTCATAAAATTCTTAACTGGCAAACAGAACTTTAAGATTTCTTCATCGCTGTTTTGATCACTTCTAACTGGTTTTGAAATAAAATATTGTTCTTCTGACCTTAACATTTTACATATAGAACAACAACTTGGGCTATTTTCATTGTTTTGAAATTCTGGCACATCTCCAAATAAAGATTCTATTCTTGCAATAAACTTTTCTGCCAAGATAATATAAAAAAATATACCTCTTGTTGGATACTCATTTGCCTTTGAAATATTAGCAGTCTTTGCTACTGTTTCACTTTCTTTTGCATATGAGACCAAAGATTCAAGTTTTATGAGATCTGAATTATTTTTCTTAAACTTGCAACTAGCATTCCTAATAGAAGTACAACTATTAGGGGGCCATTTTCCAATGTATGGAATATTTCCTAACAATCTGGATTGTAAATTGGCATTCATATACATCTTAAAATTTGCATGTTGTCTTACACTGGTTTTTAAGTTTATACTGCTTTTCTCTTTTAACTCCAAATCATGCTGATTAAAATTCCATGATGTTTTAGGAAAACAGAGAAATTTGTTTGCTGACTTTGTATCTTCACAGTGTACTTCCAATAACTGCTGCTGTCCCGTCTCAAAGGTTACTTGATTGCTATCAATTTTAAATTTCTTTGGCCATGGTTCTTCTGTTTCTTCTGGTGCAGCTAAAAGTGTTCTTAAACTAGAGTTTTCCATGGTGATTTGTCAAAAACAAAACTTGGAAGTTCTCTGTTCTGTAATGTTAAAAACTGACACAAGAAATTAGTGGATTAGCATTACAAATTCTAAAAGAATGTATCTGTATGTTCCTACCAGAACTTAATGTCGTCTTTCAAGGGCTTGTTTTGGGTGTCTTTCTGTGCTTTGCTACAAAAAGTGGCTATCTGGGAGCAGGCCTCTTTAATAATAGCTGCCCAACCTTTGAATGTCCTCATCAGTGAGGTACAGCTACTGTCTGAAAGGCTCCCCTAATCAGAACTCATCAATAAATCCCACATCTCTTGACACTTCACAACTTAGCTTGACTATTCTGCTTAACTAGGCAGTAGACTCTCTGCTAGATTTGGTTAAATTAGAATCTGTAGAATTGCAGACAAGAATGTAAATCATACACAACAGTAATCATCACAGCCAAATAAAATGACAATTACACCCTCAGGGGTTTACGATCTAGCTTTTTTCTCCCTCCTTTCCAAATTAATGGGTACTTAGCAGCCTTGAAGCCAAGTGGTTGTTGAATGGGCAGTTCTGGCCTAGAACCTCATTCACTTCAAAATTTACAATACTTTCCCTGTTGGTACTATACAAAGACATATTTATTATTACAGGCTTTTTAATAATACATTAATATTTTTAAATTTTAACTCCTATTAGTACATTCACTTTTTTCTTACTGCTTTAATATTGTTGATCTTATTTGGTATTTTTGTACCGTACTGTATTGTGTTTTATAAAGGATCCTGTTTAATTAATATCTACATGAAACTGCTGGGTGAGGTCATCCATCAGTTTGGGTTTTGGTATCATCAGTACCAAACAGCTCAACCCCAGGCTGCAAAGGGGAAGTTGTCGATGTACTGGCCCAGTGTCTGGAGGCTGCGTGGGTCTGGACTGGGAGAAAAAACATCAGCTTCATCCTGACAAGACTGAGTGGCTATGGCTGTTTGCCCCCTCTGGGTCAGGGACATCTTCATCTTTGGTCTTGGATGGGGTTGCACTTCCCCATTCAAGACTGCTGTGCAACTTGGGGGTCCTCCCGAACTTGCAACTCCTGTTCAAAGAGCAGATGATAGGTATGGCCAAGAGGACTTTTGCCAGGTTCACCTTGTGCACCATTGGTTCTCTTTCCTCAACCAGGAGGGCCTTCCAACAGTCACTCACATCCTGGTCACTTTGTGACTGGACTACTACAATCAGGTCTATATGGGGTTGCCCTTGAAGACCATCTGGAAGCTACAGCTGGTGCAAAATGCAGTGACGTGAGCAGTAATGGACACTTCACAATATGACCATGAGTTACACTGGTTGCCAGTAGGCCTCCAGGTGTAATTTAAGGTGCTGATCAACTTTAAAGCCCTTCATGGTTTTAAAGGCCATGGTTATCTGAGGGACTGTCTATTTCCAATTGTCTCTGCCCACACAATACATTTGCACAAAGTGGATATGCTCCAGGTTCCTTGCATTAAACACTGCCATCTTGTAGGATCAAGGAAGCATGCCTTTTCCGTTACTGCCCCCATTCCCTGGAACAGCATCTCCCCAGAGATACAACTAGTGCCCATTCTCCTGGGTTTCCAGAAAGCCCTTAAACCCAGGCTCCGTTCCCAGGCTTGGAGTTAATGTGTTTATTGATAAATTTGTGGGTCCTGTCATATCTGTGTGGTTTATTATTTGAGTTGTTTTAGTCTGGGCTGCCTGTTTATGTGTGGTCATACGTGTTTAATTGTTTTTATTGTTTCTGGACTTTGTAAACTACCCAAAGTCTAATACAGTGGGTGTCTATAAAAAATTAATATTTTAAATTAAATTAAATTAAATTAAATTATGTGTGTTCTTATTTTAAAATATTGTTCCTCACTGTAATTTTTAAAATGTAAACCTCTTGGAGACTTCTATTATAGTAATAGGAAGCACTATGTAAATGTTTTAGATAAAAACAGAAATAATATAGTAAAATGCAATGTATATTAACAATATGCATATTATATAATATTGGACTTTCATTCTCCCTTCTAAGGAATTATGTTTAAGATTAGCTATAAATCAAAGTATTAATAATCAATAATTAATAATGTATGACATTTTAACAATTGTTTTTGTAAAATATTTATATTATTGTACTGGTTTCTGAATCATCAGATTTATATTGAAAGCAAACTATGCATTTTAGAAAATAAAAATAGTATTACTGCATCAGGAACTTAGCTATATAAAGTTAGGCTTTTTAACCAAATCAATAAAATCTACTTGCTAAGATATATGTTTAGGATGAGATTGACATATTCAAATCAGAATGCTCTCATTCAGGTCCCTGATTAGATCAGAAAACTATTTCTTTTTATCAAAATCCAGTCAAAGGACCTTACATCATCATCATCATTATATCTTTATCCTGCCTTAAAAAAAAATAGGCGAACTCAAGGCATCAAACATACCTAATTCTCCTGCTTCCTCTTTCCCCACAATCACAACCCTGTGAGGTGGGTGGGCTGAGGGAGAATGACTGGCCCAAAGTTACCCAGCCGACTTTCATGCCAAAGGGAGGTCTAGAACTACACCAAACTTTAATTTAATGTAATTGATCTGATAACATTATTATGTCAGATACAAAGAGCAACTAATTTTTAACACATTCAATTTGTTTCTTATCCACATTACAATGAAAGAATTACCTTACAAAGTTAAAGTACTACAAATAACAGCTGAAAACAATTCTGGAAACTTAAATAATGTTTCTACTTTGAAAAAAATGTTTGAAGATTTTTTTTTCTTGCTGTTTTAGAAACTAGAAACCACTGAAAGAAAATCTTAAGACATTCCAAATACATAAATAAAACATTTCACTTAGGGTTATTATATACATATTCTCTGTACATATATATTTGTGCAAGGTTGCACAGAGAACCTCAATAGAGGATGGATATATATCTAAATTTCTCTGATAAATCATGGGGCTACCTACAACATAACATTGCTTTTTTTAAAAAAAAATGTTAAGCCAGAGATGTTGTATCATGATCAGCTGGGAAAGCTTTTCAGATTATTCAGCCTTCTGCCTTAAGGTACTTGCAACACTTAAGAACTGCGCACATGCTAAGAATTTAAGCCTAAGATCTTTATTTTACCTAGTAACTTGCTATGCTTTTCTCCTCAGAACAGTGTCATTATACAGTGGTGCCTCGGGTTACGAACGCCTCTGTTAACGAACTTTTCGGGTTACAACCAGCTCCGGCCGCAA